CTTCCTGAAACAAAACAAAACAAAAACAAACAAAAGTCCTCCCAGGTCTGGCCCGACTCCCACAGAGGTAGATGTTATTAGCATATCTGAACGTTCCCATAGGTTAGGCTAGCTTTTTGGGGGGACACAGTGTGAAGCTCTCCTCTGCAGGAGGCTGGTGTTTGAACTAGGGTGATACAAAAATGCACTGGACCACACTGATGGTAGGTGCAGATTCCAGATCCCACAGACTTTCAGGCACGGGGATGCAAGGTTGTGAAACAATGTTAAGTCTCAGGTGGACATTTAGAGAGCGTGTGTACTCTGTTTGATACCCAAAATTATGTAAATCCCATCATTTGGATTCCATTTGTTTTTTGGAAAAACATGGAGTCCAATGACACAATCCAGGAAAAAAAAACCCGCTTCAAGAGGATTTAAATTTTAACACTACTCTTCCCTTCCACCTCACCATTAAACTCTGGTGGACTGTTTTAGAAGGAGAAGCCTCTAACTTTTCTTCCAATTCTACGACTCTATGGCTAGTCTCAGAGTCTCTCTGGCACCTACGTTATCTATACATATAACCAAAGGCTGGGATTTTCCTGAACAGAGGTAGGAAAATTTCCCCTTCCCTTGGGGTAAGCCCCAACCTCTCCCTGGCTAGACATCTGGTCTACCTAGCTTCAGAAGAACTAGAGAGTTTAGGAGCCAAGTTGTAGTTAGAGTGAGAGCCAAACATGGATTCCAGCATTTCAAGTCAAAACCTGGGAAATCAGTGTTATTTGTTTCCAGAAAAAGGCTTACTCCATAAATTGGCCATAAAGACATTTACCTTGGAAGATCACATTTACTGCAATGATGCTTGATGCACACGAAACAGAACATTGTCTGGCATATAACTGGTGGCCTACAAATCAAAGTCAAGGCCATGGACATCACATCTGCTGTGAGGGGACAGATGGAAGACACGGGGACTGCGGGAACACCTTACAGAAGTGTTAGAAGGATGCCAGCTCACTTCACATTAAGCACCCAGACTTTTTTTTCCTTCAAGGTGAGGTCTCATGTAGCCCAGGCTGGCCTTAAACTCACTCTGTAGCCCATGATAACCCTCAACTACTTATCCTTCTGCCTCCCTCTCTCATGTACTAAATTATAGGCAGGTGCTGCTGTACTGGGATCCAAACTTGGGTTTTTCTATGTGGAAAATATAATGAGAGGAAGAAGTGAATGCTCTGGGTAGAAGCCTAGGTTTTAATTTTCCCATGTGTGGAAGCAGAGGAAAGTAGCTTCATTAAAGACGAGGAGCTACCGCAGCGGGATGAACCATGCACATCTCCCATCTCCACAAAACGAGAGAGCTTTGGGTCCATTTAGCTTTCTGTTTATCTTAATGTATGTAGAGTTGTGGAGTGACATCTATTCGGGGAATTGTCAAAGCCTCAAGTCCTACTTCAAGATGCACTTAAGTTTAACGACAGAGGGGTGGGGGTCTATTCGGGGTACACAGTCTGGGGACTAGAGCGATTCTAACTCTAGGTATTGATAGTTTTTGGTATCCAGGTACTTTGTCATTTGTACTCTCGGCGTTCTAGCCTACAAATCATCCTTTGAAACATGGAGCAAGTGGGCGACGGCGATTTCCATGTGTCGGGGAACAGTGCCCTCTACTGTTCACGCAGAATATATGCAGCTTGGTCAAATAAAGGGCCTCCCTGCTGCAACAGCCCAGTTGTCTGCTGTGATGGAGACACCATTTGGAAAGGCAGTGTCTAGGTCTCAGGTATAAAAATGCTGCAGAAGCCAGCCAGCCAGCTGCAGCAGCTCTCTGGTCATGCAGTAGGTAGCCTCTGATGTTTTAATGCTGTGCATGTGCCCCGCCTCAAGCTCACAGCAAGCACCCAGGAGGTGTGTTCGGCCCTTTACCAGAGGAATTTTAAAAGCAGTGAAGCTGACCACTGCACCTTGACGCTAGACCGTCTCTGCTTCAGAGGGTCACGACGGTAAGATTTCAATCCATTCAAGGCAGAACAGTTACAGCTGTCGTCATAGGAGCGAGCCACAGTTCATCTTCAGCTACTGCCTTCCGACCCCGAACAACGCCCTCAGCACCCATCTTCATTTTAAACAACCAATGGGGCAGGTCTACAGGTGCCAAGCTCGTGCTGCGGATCTGAGTCCTCTTCAATCACAGTCAGCTGCTTTCCCAGCACTATCCCACTTAGCCACAGCAGAGAAAATAGAGTGATGAACCATTTACGGAAGGGAAAAAAAGTCTTAAAATTTTCTTCAAAGGATTACAATGTGTGGCAGTACTTTTTTGCCTCTACTACTGAGTTTCGAATGTATGAGGTGAGAGTGTCGACTCCCCTCACAGGGCGTGGGTTCTTTCACGTCGTTTTTCTGTATGCCAAAAGAGTCCGTAACATACCACCGACTGCCCGCCCAGTGGGCACACACTACCAGGCTCAGGGAAGGAAGGACTAACGTGGTGTGTAATGCAGACCTGGACTGGTAGCCTTCAGGGCTGAGCATGGTGTTGGGTCTTACCATTTAGGATACTGCAGTATCAGGAGACAAGTCAAAATTACAAAGAATTTAACAGTCCCATACAGTTTAATGGGTTAAGTTGCCCACCCTCATTTGAGACAGGACCTCACTTTGTAACCAGCTAACCTGAAACTCTGTATGCCAATCTGGCCTTGAACTCAGAGATCTGCCTGCCTGTGCTTCAATCTTTTAGTACTTCTGTTTAGTCACTTCCATTGAAAATATCAACCCAAGATAAGACTTGTGCATGCGTGCACACGCGTGTGTATGCGTGTGTGTGCGCGCGCGCGCGTGCGCATGTTTGTGTGTGTGTGTGTGTGTGTGTGTGTGTGTGTGTGTGTGTATGAAGAGCCCAGAGACTGATGTTGACATTGTATTCCTCTACACTCTACACCTTGAGACAAAGCCTTTCACTGAACCAGGGGCTCACACATTTTCAGCTAGATTGGCCCCCAAGCCTCTGGGATCTGCTTGCCTCCATTTGCTCTGCCTTGGGGTCACTGATCCATTACCCAGGTGCTAGGCTGGGGATTTGAACCCAGGTCCTCATGCTTTTACAACAGGAATTTTACTACTGAGCCATCTCCTCAGCCTTAGATTTTTAAAAGATTTTATTTGTAATTAATTCTTTGAGAATTTCATTTCATACAGTGTATTTTGGTCATATTTACTCCCCAAGCTTCTCCAATACCACCCTTTCACCATCCACCCTTCCAGCCTCCACCCTTCCAGCCTCCACTCTCACCTCCCTACCCCCTTCCCCTGCCAAGCCCAGTTTGTATTGCCCAATGGCTTGCTTTCAATCCTTTCATAAACATGTCACTGACCGTGGCAGCTGATCTCATGGTCTAGCATAATCCGCTGGTCTGACATCACTGCCCACTGGACATCGTCATGGGGGAATTCTCCCCCTCTGTTTCCTATTACAGGACCCATCGTGACCACATGTATCTGTTTCCCTTTCTCCTCTTCTCAAGGACAGATGTTATGCCTCTCTTGTCTTGTATCTCTTGCTCTTTTATATTCGTTTCTCCTCCTCTAGATAGGAGTGGCACAAACTCAGGATTTGGAATACTAACTATTTGGGAATTTAGGTATGTAGAGATGCTGCCTCAACAGCCCAGCTAACAGCAGCTTAAGCACTAAATTTATGTCAGACTACAGAAATAAGTGGTTTAAACCGACTTTTATTAAATTTTCTCCAGGGGTGGGCATTTTGGAGGAGTGTGGAAAGTGACTGCAGGAAAGATGTGCTCCCTGGAGCTTCGCTTAGGTGATTTTACGAACCCTTCAGGTTCCCAGGGCCCTAAGAGGAAAGATTCCTGACTACAGGAAAGGGGGGTGATCTCTGGAGAACAGGCTGGCTCTAGTCACCAGAAGTTTTTCTGATAGACCAGTTAGAATTCATCTTAATTATGAAAACTTGACCTTGGTGCTAATGATTTGAACAGAAGGAGAGGTGTGCCTTGAGCACAGTGCTGAGACCCTGAGCAAGTTGCTTCTAGGCTGTGCTTGGCACAGAGGGACACTCACCTGCCTCTGCAGTGCTTGGGATCTTGAGCGGCTCTAACGTTTCCAGGACAGACCTGTCTTTCTCTCCTTGGCTCATGTGTCAGGAGTATCTCTTTCTATTATCCAGTGTGTCTTCATGTGTTTAATAAGTGATCCCTGCGCCTTGTGTAGCTAACTTTTCTACAGTGACATCATGTGGTCTCAAAAAGCAATAGCAGTGGGGTGAGCCAGCTCCTGTTCATTCCTGGCCAGTAGTGAACTTCAGAGCTGTCAGGGGTTTGGACAGAGTGGGAAGGAGGGAGTCTGAACTACCCTGATGTAAGGCAGTCAGGTGCTTTGACAGTTTTGGAAAAAGAAGGGCTGTGGCCATGTGTAAACGACCCTGAGCCTCAAAAGCGGTTTATACTGGTTGTGTGTGGTTTAAAGTCCTTGTTTATTGCAGCTCTAGGGACCTGATTAATGACACGATCCTTATCCTGATCCGTCTGTGGGAATTTTCAGTATCTCAGTCTACGATCTTGAGGATTTGGGAAGTTTGCTTGTGGGAAGACAGATGCAGCTCCAGCTTTAGGTCTGTTGAATTGCTAGAGCTGAATGATTAAGGGAATGTCTGCCTTTGCTTGTCAAGCATTCCTCTCCCCATTTCTGGAAACACAGGCTCTTTTCCTGTGGGAAACACACTGTGGACAATGTAGCTGGGCTGGTCCCCTTAACAATTTCTCACACGCAGACACTGATGGAGGGCAGTGGAGGAAATCTAACGCCCTGCTCTATTAATCTCCTATTTCCCTCAGTCGGGGTCTCATGGACTCTGAAGCCCACTCTTTAGGCTCAGCTGCCTGGCCAGAGAGCTCCCAGGATTCATCTCTCTCTCTTCTTCAGCATTGTGCCTTTTTTTTTTTTTTTTTTTTTTTTTAACATGGGGACCAGGGATTTGAACTCAGGTCCTCATTCTTCCACAGCAAAAGGCTCTTACCCATTGAGCCGGTTCCCAGTTCCTCTTCTCCTTTGTACCTTTCCTATTCCTTAACAAGGAATTGGACAGCTGCTTCAGGCTTGACCAGTCAGAAAGTTTGTCCTGCTGGCCACAGTGATCGTGGTACGGGAGGTAAACTATTTACCTCAGGGTGGGCAGCCTGTGTTCTCTGGGCTTTGCAACTAGAGCTATGGGCAAAGGTGATTTCATGCCGCTGAGGTTGCTAATGGGGCAGTACAGAATTTAGGGTGCTGACAGGCATGAACTAAAAGGGGAAGGACCAAAGAGAAAGAAAAGGAAATGAAACCTGACGACATTTTGAGGCTTCTTCCAGCCTTGCCTAGTATATTATAATCTCTTATATTCAGAGATTTTGGTGGTTGTTGATTGTTGTTTTTATTTATTATTGTTATTATTATTTTAGAGAGAGGACCTTCCTATATTGCCTCTGCTGGTCTTGAACTCATGGTCTTCATGCCTTAGTCTCTCGAGTATCTGATGTGTGACACTATAGTCAAGTCTGTTGACAGGGACACACACTAGGTTAGTTGACACTACCTTAGAGTCTAATGTAAGTTCAACTGTAAGTAGTGTGTGTGGGGAGGCTCTTCTGCACTGCAGGGATACCAGTCATTAGATTTCAGAGATCCATGGAACTCACTGGTCAGTGCTATCTTTCCAAGTATCTATAGAATTCTGAAATTAGCCAGGTTTGTTCACCATGGTGTACCGTTCGTTTTATCCATTCATCCAGAGACTCACTGACAGAGTTCTTTACTGGGCAAGGTTAATCTTGGAAAAGTGACATGGAGACAAATGGGCACCATGATCCCAACCTCGAGGGAAAAACTGAGGCATACCTCTACCCTCCACGGATTTGGCCAACTCCCATCTATAAGCCTGTGTCCCTCTTGCCTTCTGCTGACCACAGACACAGCTTTGGGTCAGTGGGGTAACATGTCTTCTGTCTCAAGTGTGAGAGATGGAAAGAGGAAGCACCGCAGCTTCCACAAGACGTCCCTGCTCAGTATCTTGGGCAGTGCGTTGATGAGGAGGTCGGGATTTATAAAGCTTAAATGGAAGATCAGGTACCCCAGCAATCTGATGAAAAATAGTGTGGTAAAAAAGAGGGAGCGAAAAATCCTGAAAGAGAAACCCCAGAAACTGTTAATCAGGAGTTACGAAACCTGGAACAGAATAGAAACTCAGACCTGAGCGCTTCTCACATCTGTATTCTGCTGTCAGCCCTTAGTTTACTCCATTGCTTAGTCAGTTACTCCTTCCATGCACCCTACTGTATTTTTGTTGTGCCATTTCTCATCATGAAACTTCATTTCGTTCCCTTAGTTTTGATTTTTTCCAAATATTTTCCAAAGTAGTTAGTTGCATCTAAGTGTGTATTTCTGTGGACCCACATCTCTTCCAACATAATTTTATCAGATGCTTAAGATTTTGCCAGTCAAACAGTTATAAAACAAGAACTCATTTGGCCTCAATTTACATTTCCATAATGAACATTGAAAGTGAACATTGGTCCATAGGATAGTTGGTCTTATGTGTTTCCTTCCTCTCGCCCATGGTAGTTTGTGCTTGTTGACTGACAGGAACTCTTTATGCATTGTGGACGTAGATCCCTTTCCATCGTGTGTAATTTTCTAAACTCTTCCACTTTTATAACGTTTCCTGGTTCTCAGGTATCAGAGAACAAAGGTTTTTAATTTTAATAGGATCTTGTTTGTCAACCTTTCATTTGATTAGTGATGTGCTTAAGTCAAGTGTGATGATATATGTTTGGAAGCCCAGCACTTGGGAGGCGAGGCAGGAGGGAGACCAGCACAGTGATTTCCTATTTCAAAAAGCTAAACAACAAAGCAAAAATAAGTCTAGAAAGATACTCTCATTTTTCTATTTAAAGTCCATGCAGGTTTGTAAATATCTGCAAACTCATTATTAGTTTTGCCCTCCATGCATGCACTAGAGTGTGGACAGGAATTAACAGGCTACTTTTAAGGAATTAACTATGGCAGTGAATCCTGCTGGACTCTGCTGTTATGATTTAGAGGAGCAGCCTGGGGGTTCTGGGAGCATTCTGCTCATTGTCTCAGGAATGTCTTAAGCTAGGGATATGGGAACATGCAATACTTCATGTATATGATATAAAAGGGTGTTCTCCTTAACCAAATTTCCCAGACAATTGGAGTTGACTTTTAAGCACCAATAATTTTAACTGTCCTGATGGAACTCTTTCTAAACCATACTTCATGCCACTTTGAATATATGTTTCTTTATGCCTTCTTAAGCGGATCACATGGAACATAATCTGACCTTTTCTTGCACGTGAGGGGCTTACTGAGTACTAATTGTTAATTGCTGTCAAATGTTTCCCTCAGGACTCACCTGTGCTCAGGTGTTCAATGTGGCATCCTGTTCATTTAAAAAGTTTAAAAACTCTATTGTGTGCTGGATATTATTAGAAATTTCTTTCCGCAAATGTTTTCTGTTTGTTATGTCTGCTGTTAGATGCTGGTACGTACACTTTCTTCTAGGGGTTCTGTCCCCCTACTTCCTGTCTACCAGTGCTACAGAGAGACTGTATGCAACAAGCTACTTCAAACCATACAAGGGAGTACGGGAGTTAACGTGGGAGCTGCCACATCTCGATTGAGAACCAAGACTTCGCTTCCTCATCACTAAGTTGCTGACTTCTGACACTGGAGAGTCGAGTCGCAGATGCCTTTGGATCAGAAGTCGCGTCACTAGAAGTGAGTTACACAGATGGTGACACCAGTCTCCTGATACAGGGTGCGTGTGTGTGTGTGTGTGTGTGTGTGTATCAAGTTCTCCTTGTTTAGATTTTGCTCTTTGCCAGGATGGCTCCTTAGCTTTGCAGGAAGTTTACTGGAAGAGGTCTTGCTTACCTTTTACTGAACCTTGATGCCTTTTTGGTGATGGAATCGTCCTGGAAGAAACACCAATAGGAAATAAGCACTTTCTGAAAGCTGCCAGGTAACATTAGTAAATCATCAGTTGAATATTATATTGACATAAATCTTACAAATTCTTGATATCGGTACAAATACATGTAATTTTCAAAGATGAAAGTTGCTTTGTAAAGATTTATTTTATTTCATTTTAAACTTACGTGGGTCTGTGTGTGGATATGTGTATGTAGGTTTGGGTGCCCATGTGTGGTGATGCTTCATTTGTGCTGAAATGTGATATTTTATTTGTATGTTAATAAATAAAATTTGCCTGGAGATTAGAGGTCAGTGTGCCATAAACAGAAGTCAGGCAGTGGTAGCACATGCCCTTAATCCAATCACATGGCAGGCAGAGTCTCTGTGTGGTCAGGACATAGCCAAGGGTGGTGACATGAGCCTTTAATCCCAATACCAACCATAGAGACCTGGAGGTCTGTATAGACAGGCAGTGATGAGGAAGTCATGTGGCTGGGCTTAGAGCCAATGACAAAGCAGAACAGGAAGGTAATAAAAACACAGGATAGACTGGAAGAAGCTCTCTCTGGGGAAGCCATGGTGGTGAGGTGGTAAGATAAGGCTAGTCAAGGCTCTTGGCTAGTTCTCTGATCTCTTTGGCTATTACCTCTGTATTTGGCTCTGTGTTTCTTATTTAATAAAACTGTTTAGAAATTTGTCTACACCCATGGATGCCAAAAGAGGGTGTCAGATCCCCTAGAGCTGGAGTTCCAGGTGATTGTGATCTGAATGACTTGGGTGCTGAGAACTGAACTTGAGTCCTCTGCAAGAGCAGAAAACATTCTTAATGCTGAGTTATTTTTTTCAGCCTTGGTTTTTACACACATACATGACTGATATAAACTAAAGTAGAGAAAGATAATTATTAATGAGGTAATAATATAACTGGTAAGTGACCTACAAACTGGGCCCTCAGAGTCCACATTCCTAGCTCTTTAAATTTCTCATTTACCTTCTACTTAGCCAAGGGGAATTTATAGCCCATGGGAATCATACAGACATGCCCTAAGAGAGAAATTTCAAAAGGACTAAAGTAATCTCAAAAGGAGGCTTCTGGATTTATTTTTTTTCTTTTCTTTCTTTTTGGGTTTTTTCTTCCTTCCTTCCTTCCTTCCTTCCTTCCTTCCTTCCTTCCTTCCTTCCTTCCTTCCTTCCTTCCTTCCCTTTTTGTTTGTTTATTGAGACAGGGTTTCTCTACCCTAGCTGTCTTGGAATTCCCTCTGTAGACCAGGCTGGCCTCGAACTCATAGAAACCCACTTGCTTCTGCCTCCTGAGCACTGGGATTAAAAGTGTGCAGCACCACTTGTCCAGCTGGATTTCTTTGATACTTTTCTTCCAAAATATTTTCTCAGATATTTTATCGCCTTTATAAAGTCCTTTTTGAAATCAAGAGTAAGAGGAGTTTTGTCCACATTTTGAAGCCAATAGAACTGGAGTCAGATACTGGAAATGGGTTCTGTAGTCCAAGGAGACTAGAGTGCCATGGCAAGTGCTCAGCTACTCAGGCAGCCTTTCCTGAATGAAGGCACTTGAACATCACTGACCCGTGGATCCTCCTGGTTTTATAATGGGTTTTGGGAAAACCAATACATTTTTCTCTGATTGTTACTAAGAAGAAATCCATCGATGGGCCTCTGAGATTGTATAGGACATGTGAGCATGATCCAACAGAAGCAAATGTCTGGTGGATCCCAGGACCATAGTTAACATCTGGTAGTTTCTCTTATGGAAAGAGATGGTCTTTTGTTTCTGAGATTAAAACCAAACCAAAACAAAACAAATGGCACTGAGATGGCTCAGTGGTTAAGGGCACCAGCTGCTCTTCCAGAGGTCCGGAGTTCAATTCTCAGCACCCACATGGTGGCTCACAACCATCTATAATGGGATCTGATGCCTTTTTTGTGGCATGCAGATAGAGAACTCATATACATAAAATAAATGAGTCTTAAAACAAACAAACAAAAACCTATTTATCTTGACTGCATGAAAACTCTGGTGATTATTAACCCCGGCCTGAAGGCCAATGTGACCCAGTGTGCCTGTTGGTGTGAGACAAGAACACTGAAAGGGCTGGTACCCTCCTTCCAAAAAAGTCTGTGACTTCAGACCTTTGCCTGTGAGCTGGTGACTTCACTAACTATGGGCAGACATTGAAGTGTGACATTAAGAAGTATGACATTCTGTGTTTTAACTTACAGAGCAACTTCAGCTACATGTTGTCAGATACCTGGTGCCCTGTGTTGTGAAAGAGTCAAGACTGTGTTGGGAGGAACAGAAAAGCATTTTCGATTATAGGAGAGAAAGTGCCCTTATACAGCATACCCTCCATTAATGCCCTTTCCAGCTGTCACTTGGAATTCTTAGGTTAGCTTTTGAGAATCTGTCTTTTGTATGTGTGAAAGTGGGATAGACAATTGCTCCTTTGCATCTTGGTTGGGGGTGAGTAAAGTTGGAAATGTTTGCAAAGTGCAGTGAGAAAACTGGCCATCTACTTGGTGACACACAGTTCCTGGAAACTCCCTCTGTAGGCGAAGGCACTGAGTGGAAGCAGTGGAATTCTTACCTTATGATTCAGGCACTGAGTGGAAGGAGTGGAATTCTTACCTTATTATTTAGGCTGTTATTCTTTTCTCTCTCAGAATCCATGCTTAAGACTTTTGATCTAGGAGGAAAAGGAACCACAAAAGAGATTGGACACAAAAGAGCATCCAAATATTCATAACACACAGGATGGTTATTTAAAAGATGCTTTATCCAATAGCATAGCCATTACCTATAGCTGTTTAAATAAATTTAAAGGGAAACCCAGCTCCTTTGCTACATTTCTCATCTTCCAAGTACTCAGAAGTCAGCCACCGGTAGACAGTGGCTTCCTATTGGATGGTGCAGAAAGTTCTACTACACAACTCTCTTTCAGAACATCAGCTGAACAGTGAAGTCCTAATCCAATTCCCAACAAGCATCTAGAAAGACCTGAGAGTGTCCTTCAGGATCAAGGACCTCCATGGCCTAGGACCTGGCTTCTGTGCTGCCATTTGTAAATGGCTGACTTAGAGGATTACACAGTTTTGACTTCTTGTTTTGAGCCAAAGACCCTCCAGAAATTTAATAAACAGAAATGCATATTCATTAAGACTAGCTCACAAAGGGTGAAATGATGGAGGCGAGGCTCATTGTTTTGGTTCTGTACTATTTACCCATGAGAAGGAGAGCAAGAATCTTGCCATTTCTAGTTTTGAGTGTTCATAGCTCAATAGAGTTCATTCACAGTTCTCAGTTTCAGAACACATATTGTCAGTATCTCCAGGAGTGCATTTCATGCCTATATCATGGTTGGAATTTTACATATTTAGAAGTAAGAATGATGATGATTTTAAGTTCATCCTGTGAACAGTGAGGAATACCCCACTTACCAAGGATTTCTGACACCAGCACTTTTTAAAATGCATACTTATGCAATTAATCTTAACTCAAATGATAACGTGGAAGTGTGATAAAGTTATGAAGGTGTGTTTCTATAGTCTTCTAAGACTGTGTTTCTAACAAGATCACAAAAGAAGGGGCTCATTCTGTTTCAGAGGGGACCTGGGAAGAGTTGAGCCTGACTCAGCCGAGAAGGGGTCGCCACTAAAGCAGGATGTCCCTGGGTTAATGCTCACACTTCTCTTTCAAGGAATCCAGTCTCCAGTTCTTCTTCTATCCTCTTCAAGGCTTCCTGGTACTTCTTTAAAGAGAATTGAAGGGAGCCACAGTTACTACTTGGGCACTTTATGATTCTTCTAAACATGCAAGCACTTTTCACTAGACTATACAAAGAATGCTTGGCACTCCCATGGGCCCATCCTCTCAACCCACCACCTTCTCTCCCCTTACTCCTCAGTGGTGGATAGGTTCCCAAGCGTAACTGGGGTTAGACAAAGAGGCATTCCTGTTAGTAATTTAAGAGCACAGACACTGAGATAGCATATCAGCAGTTACCAAGAATCAAGGGACAATAGGGTGATATGTGCTGGGAACTGATGACCATACAGGCTCTTCTTAGTACCATATTGAGATAATTTTTCCTAGGTAGTATTCCTTGGGCAGCTTGGCTACATTATATCCTGGGAAGCTGTACCTTTATGCAGAGAGCTTGATCTTCGCAGAGCTGAGAGACAAACACATAGTCTTCCATTATCTGGAAACCAAAGTGGGCTCTTCCATCTTCTCCGCTTATTGCCATAAGAGAAGTACATAGGTCCACCCCTGTTTCTAGACCCTCAATGTAAACCTTTGCTGTATGTATAAATTCATTTCATCTTGGGGGACAAATAAATCATATTTTATAGTCCAAATGGAAATTATTTGGGGGAAATTTGGAAAAGGAATGGATACTAGTATGTGTTAGACACGGATGTTGGGGTGTGTTCTGTAAAAATGTTTACCTGAAGAAAATCTAGAGGATTGGGTTTATTTTCCCCCCTCTTTTTTTTAAAGCCACTATTTAGATCCATGATGGTCCTGAGTCTGGAAGCTGATGATACATCAATCTTTTGAGGGATACGTTAGGTTGCTGGAGGATTATGTTTCCCCTTCTTGGGAAGAACTTTGGAGTCCCTGCTCTTACCTTGGCAAGCTCCTTTTCTTGGTCTGCACAGGAAGATTCCAACTGTTGTAACTTAACCTGTTGAAAGGAAAGGATCAAAAGCCTTACCAGATGAAAATGCACAAGGTAGACACATCATCTCAGGGATGCTCTGCTAGCTCTTGATGGGTCAGGTTACAGTCGATGGGGGCCTTACGACATCCAGCACTTTGCAGCTGAACAGACTTGTCCTCACTGAGACTTTGTCTTTTACTTTTGCCTTTGGACTCTACAGTTTTTAAGCTACTTTTGTCAAAACTTACGAGTCCTAAAGAACATGGCTTTCTCTTTTCTTCCCCCGCCCCCCACCTTGAGACAGCATTTCTCTGTGTAGGCCTGGCTGTCCTGAAACTTGCTCTGTAGTTATTTTGGTCCAGGACTTTTGCTCAGTATTTTATCCCTGACTATATTCTTTCTTCCCTGTTTTATCTCCTTAACTATTTGGAAAAACACTATTTTATATTGGCCACTCTAGTAAACTAACTAACACACATACAAACTCACTCTCTGTGTGTGTGGAGAGAAAAGATTGGTGAGCCCTTTGCCTCCATGAGGAGCTTTCGTTATAGTTGGGGACATAAGAAAAGAGTCAATACAATAATGGTCTCTGCAAACAAGACAATAAAAACAGAATGTGAGCGGTGCTGGTTAGAGGTGTGAGAGGGTGGTATGAGAGGTGGCAGGAAAGGCCTCTGTAGCAAGACAATGCTTGAGCTGAGACCTAAATATTAAATATTAGTCTGATAGATATCTGAAAGAAATACATTTCGTGGGGAAGCTATTGCCAAGGCTACGGTCAGGAAGTAGTGCACATTTGGTGGTCATGAACAGGTAGATGAGTATGGCAGGTAGAGCAGGTAAGGAAGGTAGATAGGGCCTAGACTGTGGGCCCTCGTAACTTCTAGAAGGAGTGGCCTAGGTTACAGGACCTTGTAGCTTCTAAAAGGAGTCATACAACCCCATGGATCAATTGTTCTCAACCCGTGGGCTGTGTGTGACCCCTTTGGGGATGTCAAATGACCCTTTCACAGGGGTCACCTAAACCCATCTGCATATCAGATATTTATATTATGATTCACAATAGCAGCAAAATTACGGTCATAAAACAGCAACCAAGTAATTTTAGGGTTGGGCTTACCACAACATGACCACAACACAACAAAGCATTAGGAAGGTCGGGAACCATTTCCAAAGAGTCTAGAAGGAGTTGTCTCGGTTGTATTATAGGACCCTGGAGCTGGTATATGGCGTTCGAATCGTTATTCTAATTGCAGTATGAATCCATGGGAGGACTTGACATATAAAGACAAAGTCTTGTTTGTTATTTGAAAGAACAATTTTTTCCTGGTATAGGAAACCTCCATTTCTTCAGAGGTTTCCAGTAGTGTGGGTTTTTGAATGTATAGGGAAGTTGGATTAGAACAAAGATGTGATTCTGGACGGTTTAAGGGTAAAATAAGAAGCAAGGAGAATAGCTACTGAGACGATTTCAGTTGCCCCTGTTACGGTGACTTTCAGAATCAGGGAGAAACAGGATAACAGATGGAGAGAAGGGGTTGTACTTGGGATGTGTGTGTTGGAGGCCGAGCAGAATCACCACACTTCTCTACTCAGCTCTATTTTTCTTCTTCCGTCTAGATGCCATGATTCGACATCTGCACTCCGTACAGCTACTTCTCCCTTCAATCAATTACATCAAGGCTAGTCATCCAGATGCTCCAAGAGCTAGTCTTTCAGGCCAGTGGTGTGAGTCCTAAGGTTTGGGAGCAGATATCTCCTCCAGTGGCTGGCCTGATTACTAATACGCTAGAAGAAAAGAAGCCAAAGAGATACTGTGCATCCCACAATAGCCACAGCAGAACGCCATGGAACAGATGGCTCACAGACTAATGACCTTCTCCAGCAAAGGGTGGAAGGAGTTCTCACAAAGGTTGAGATGCTGACAGCCACCATAGCCAGACCCAATGTGTTTTCTCTTGGTTATGGCTGGGTTACCTACAGCAAAACCACCTGTTCTGCAAAAGGATCTCTGGAGAATACTGGTCTCCTGGCTGCTTATATGACAAGCATAGTCAGGGTCTTTATAACCCTTTCTGGTCTTATCTCCAACTTCCTCCTGATGCAGCCTCAGACCACCACGTCCTTCTTCCCAGATGTTTCCTACAGGAGTACAGTCAAGCAGGTTTGCTTGCTGGCTTTGGACTGCCTATGTGTGTGGCCCCCGGTACTAAACTGGCCAGCAGAAGATGGGACATAAATTCGATATCCTTCCATTCTCTGCTTTTACCTTCAGCATCTCCATTTCTTCAGAGGTTTCCAGTAGTGTGGGTTTTTGAATGTATAGGGAAGTTGGATTAGAACAAAGATGTGATTCTGGAGAAAAATGTCAAGAGAGAATTTTATCTTCTTTCTCAGTACAAAAAAAATCTCTAATTCTTGCACTTTTGATTAGATAGGTTGTGGTTTACTTTGGATCCTTAGATAAAGAAATGCTTCACGTTCATTGTGTGTTTAGAAAATAGAGATCATTGAATAGTTTAGGGACTAAGTGAACAAATCCTTTTTGGATTGCAATCAATAAATACACCTTACTTGACCTTCAGATGACAATAGACATACAGATCCTAGGTCAGCCTCTATGTGTAACCTCAGCCAGAATTCTAAGTAGCAACATGAACATTATTAGATAACTCTGGACATTTGGATAACACAAAGATGAAAGAATATTCCATATACACAGTTTCATTTGTTCCTCAAGCCAAGACTGTGAGAGTATGATGAAATAGCCTAATGACACACATCAGATTAAGCGCTGGAGCCAGGGTTTAAATGAGGGACTTCACTCCCTCAAGAATTTGTACTCACATATGCTCTGTTCTTCCAAACAGTAGAGAGAATAAAATCTGCTGCAGAGAGAAATTCTGGAGTAAGGACAGAGGAGCGATGCTGGGGATGCTGTGAATGTGTTGCTCTGATTGATTGATAAATAAAATGCTGATGGCCAGTAACCAGGCAGGAAGTATAGTGTAGGTGGGATAAGGAGAGAGGAGAATTCTGGGAGGTGGAAGGCTGAGTCAGGAGACGCTGTCAGTCACCGCTAGAAGAAGCAACATGTAAAGATACCGGTAAGCCATGAGCCACGTGGCAAGGTATAGATTTATAGAAATGGGTTAATTTAAGACATAAGAACAGATAGCAAGCAGCCTGCCATGGCCATACAGTTTATAAGTAATATAAGTCTCTGTGTGTCTACTTGGGTCCAAGCAGCTGGCCGCAGGGCTGCAGGAGCTGAACAGAACCAGGAAAACTTTAGCTACAGAGCGAGACCAAGACCTCATGGGATACAGGCCCAAGCACCAAGAATTTGCAGCGACTTTGATGACCGTGTCTAGCGTGACAGCCATTTTTCTGGCCATGCGGATCAAACCCACCCGAGATTGCTTGAGCACTTACCTTTGACTCTTCTGGGGTTATTTCCAGATCACCTTGTTCACATCTGACTATCTTTTGTGATTTCCTTGTAAGCTACAGTTTCAAATAAAAAGCACATTTCAAACACAAACATAAACACTGCTACTGCTGCTGCTGCTGCTGCAACTACTGTTATTAAAAATAATCAGAGAGAAAAGATATCCTCTGGTGTGTATGGGTTAGGAGTCAGAGTGATAGGAAAGCTTCGAGGAGACAGCCTGGAAAGATACTTGGTGTCCTTAGGTTCCATCTTTGCTCTACCCATGTCTACTTGTCTTGTGACCTAGTTAGGGTCAGCAAGTACTCCTCCCAAGCCCCATTTCAAGAGGGGCTACATAGAGCTTCAGGGCGAGTCAGAAAGGGTAACCGTGTTAAGTTCTCTGTAATGTGGAGGGGGGTGCAAGAGGAAATCTTTAGGGGTTAAGGGTAGTTGTGTGTGCTATAGTCTCTGTTGAAGGTAAAGTTAACTTCTCATTAAGGTTCTGGTTAAGCACTGTTATGGAGTACCTATTAGAATCTGTTTTCTTGTGATAGAATGGAGAGCTAGTGAAATCATTAAACACCTCATCCACTACTCCTTCCACTCCACACTTAGAGAATATTCATGGATTTTTGACAAGAGCCTTAACCTCAGGAGAGTGGGTCAGGGAGAGCGATCCATGCCAAACTAAGGCCTTTTTGATACCTGAATCTACTTTCCTTATCTTGCCTCTTTGGGAACCATGATGCTGTGGAGGCATTGAGGAACATAGAGTCCCATCCTACCTTTCTCTGAAGTGCTGAGATACTGTGGACCAAAGCCTCATTCTTCTTCTCCTGGAGAGAGAAAGGACCAGAGTGTAAGTTTGAATCATGGTAAAATCATTTTTTTTTTCCTGAGACAGGGTTTCTCTGTGTAGCTCTGCACCTTTTCCTGGATCTCACTCTGTAGACCAGGCTGGCCTTGAACTCACAAAGATCCGCCTGCCTCTGCCTCCCGAGTGCTGAGATTAAAGGCGTGTGCCACCACCGCCCAGCAACATCATCTATTCTTATTCAGTTGGTATTCCCACTTCACCAGGCAGTTTTTTCTTACAGAAGTTTGAACTTATTTGTACAATGTAAGTAGATCTTGAAATTAAATCACAGGTGAAATAATCAGCAGCATATGAGGAATATAGATATTTACATTCCCAGTACTAAATATTACCTGGGAAACCTTATTCTCCCCAATTCCCTCCCATGCATGGACATAGTCTTTGTATGCAAACAAGATTAGCTTAAAGCCTCCTTTCTAGAACTAGGTTTCATGACACCAGAATGCTCCATGGAAGCTTCCAAACGAGGGAAGCAACCAACAGTCCTATCCATCTGTGCCTCCCATGAATCATAATACCAATCAACACGGCATGATAACCCTAGGGATACAATAGTGACATTCACATCTTGATGACAACCAACAGCTCTCTAATTGGATGTAAGACCTGCTCAACAAGAGGGAAATCATGCCAGGTACTGAAACCTAGCCAACTGCCCAGGGCCAGTGAAGTCATGGATCCTGGAGGAGAACCTACCACCACTTTACTAAACCAGCACAATCATATTTTAAATGTTTCTCTTTATACACACAGACAAGTATAGTCCTTACCCTTCATCAAGGAAACTTCTCTTTGCACCAGACAAAGAACATTACAAAAAAACCACAACCGACCAAAATGCAGAATTGGACCTAGTCCCATCTGATATATCTTTAATACAACCTCTGCCCCTAAGGCTCAGGGATCTTGCCAAAGAGGAAGAGGAAAAATTATAAAATTATAGCCATAGGAACAGGGACTTTCATGTGAGGCTATGTCTCTTAGAAATGTCAGAAGCTACACCCGTAAAGTCTCATCCACATGGATACCTAAACATGACTTGAAGAAGGATGACACCAGTAGATACACTAAGGTCAATGAGGGCCTCAACCCTACACAACAGTACAGTCAACTAAGAAATACTGGAGAGAAACAGTCTCACCCAGAGAAGAAGACACTCATTAGTCATCCAATACCAAATGGCCAGCCCTGAAAAAGTACATACAAGTAACAAGATACAGACTGAACAGGTTATATTTATATATTTAGTAATATACACACACGTGGGTAACAACAATTAATGAAAAAAGAGGCAATGAATTTGTAAAAGAGCATAGTGGAGTACATGAGAGGGTTTGAAGGGAGGAAAGGAAGAGGGAAGTGATGTAATTATAATCTCAAAAACATTTAAGAAAGAATGGAAATATGCTAATTACATGTTTATATTGACTTTATATTGAAATGATATTTCGGCTATGTGGGATTAAAGATCTTATCCAATTCAGATTTACAATGACTGGCTTAGTTGAAGGGGTTGTGCTCTAGGGTGAGGCCAGGATGAAGCCCATGGACTTGCTTTCCCCAGTATCATTCTTACAAGTCTGGTTGTTTCTTCCTCCAGCTCCTGCAGAGCCCGTTCTCTCTCCATCACAGTACAATTTTCCTTCTCCCAATCATCGTCTTCTGCAGGGTCTCCAGTCTGGGTGATCTCACTTTCCAGCCTGAATGATGCAAGGGTAAACCAGAAGGACCCATGATGGCCAGGTTCAGAAGTGATAAAACTCAGGACTTGATGACTACATGTGCATCTCAAGTTAGAAACTCTTCTTTCCCAGGTCCATAGACTCAGGTCATTTCCAAGCCATATAAAGAAAGAACTGCCTTATCCCAGGCCAAACACTCCGGTGTTCCTCAACTCAAGGAAAGCTCTGCCTAGTCTTTTAAGTAAAATATTTTTAAGCTTTCTGTGTTTGCATGTCTTAGGGAAAAATATCAGAGTGAATGATAGTTGTTTGCTACATGAGATAGAGTTCTCTAGAGAAAGTAGGAAAATTGAGGATTTTTGTCTGTCTCCCCCACTCCTCTTCTTTCAGGTTGAGAACTTCCATCATGAAACCTAGACTTACCTCTGGATTTCATTTTCTTTTTCTTGTATTTTGAGAAGAAGCTCCTGGTTGGCTTCATCTATTCTCTGCATATCCCTTTCAAGGTCCATGTTCAAACTGATAATGTTCTTCTTTGATTGGGCCAGTCTTAAGATTTCCATTTTTTCTGACCTATAGGCTCAGCCCCCCAAATAAACAAGGGCTGGTTATCTCAAGAGCAAAGATCAGTGGACCAAGTGGGCTCTCTAGAAAATTGGTAATTCATCCGCTGTGCTCTTTCTGGGAGCACGCTTTTCTATTTTCATTCCTGGATACTCATACATCTGAATCACACCCTACAAAGTCTTCGTAATTCTCAACCCAGCAGGGGACATCTTGAGATGCATCTCCAGTCTGATTTCAAGAGAAGCTTCACTTCCTTAAATAGCCTTGTACTGGAGAGAACTGTTTCCCATGGCAACCTTTTCCTAAATTGTTCTCGAAACATGCTTATGCAATACACTTTTATTGACTATTTTTATCTAGGCACCTGCTCCATCACTTCTGAGTTTGTTTGCTTCATTCAGAGACAGAAGTCTCTACCACCGTGATAGGGCTTCAATCTTTCCATCCTTGCTTCCCCTTCCCTTTGATTTCTGATTATAATGTTTGAGATTCTCATATGAGGGCCATTTCAGTGAGTAATACTTATATTTCAGGAACATCATTCAACAGCACAAACATCTGTTTTGAAAAAAACTGTGAGTGAAATGATAACTTTAGGAAGAGTACCTAAGTCAAGGGAGGCTCACACTAAACTTTTTCTAGCATGTAAAATAATCCATTGGTTTGCATTTGGAGTTTTTAACTGTGAATAGGGTAGTACGGCCCCGGGGATTTCTTTTTGAGTGACGTGAAGCACAATATTGGAAAATGGAGTCCTATCTTGGAAGGGCTGGCTTGGGTGGTGTATTTACAGTAGTTACCACTTTCCGTAGGAGTGAAGGGCTTGGGAGATGGGTGCAGGGGAGAGGAGGGAGAGGTGACTGGAAGATTAGAGAAGGTATGACCAGCGACCTGCCTCACACCTGGTGCCTGGATCCGCCTTTCGTAGTCGCTGTTACTTACTCGTAATCTAGCTCATTTTCCTTCTGTTCTTCCATTGTAGACGCCTGAAAAGTTAGCAGAGATACGGTTACGAACTGCAGAAGTGGGTCCAGCAATCTCTCCAATAGAAAGTCAATGAACTGGTTTTCTCCCTTCAGAGCCCCTGAGATGGATATGACAAAAATCCCAGCTTTTCCTGCTCCTCGTCTGACTCTGCATCAGGAAGTGAGGGTGCAGAGGCCTGCTGGAAAATTCCATAAGAGGTCTCATAAGCAAACACCTAGAGGTTGTTTGCCATAATAACTGGATTTGGAAACCCAGACAAAGCACTAGGAAGAAACAGAGGTCATCAGTTTTTCTTAAGTCTTCTTTCTTTATGACCTGCTGATTTCCTAAAGGTCTCAGGGCACAGATATATGCATATCACCGCCCTGGAAAGTCACGGTTGTTCCCTAGTCCCCGGCGACTGCAAGCTTGATGGGAAGCATGTCAATATTAATCAGGGATCAGAAAATGAAGTAGAAGGAAACTCTGCGGCTCTCTCTGCCCTCTCGCTTCTTCTACAAACTTTACCTCCCTTCTACGGATGTGCTTTGGCTTCCTGATCCTGCCCTAGTCAATTAGCTTCTGAAGACTCTCATCTCTTCCCACTGGAGCCCTCCAATAGAATGTCACAACCTTCCATGGGGTTATGACTCCACAATTGACATAGGAAGGGCAGGGTGATGTGTCACAGTGGCGCCAACGACTAAGTCAGAACCTCTTTATGGTTAAGTCTGCCCTAAGCAGGGACAAGCTTCAGGGAATCTTGTTTCTAGGCAGTAAAAAGGGAGAGTCTTCCTCACTATGTCTCTCTGGTAAATAGGGCTTTCTTCCTGCCCAAGTGTGAAGAAGATGGGAAATTTGGTCTTGTGGCCACAGTGATGCTATCATGTGCCCAGCGAATGACCCATTCATCCTATGGGTATTAAAAAGTAAAAGCACCAGTGTCTTCAAGAGTGAACAGGACAATCCAAAGCACTTGGCCTTGGGAAAAAGTTTACATTCAGAGGGTAGTGCCGTGTGTGTGTATGTGTGTGTGTGTGTGTGTGTGTGTGTGTGTGTGTGTGTTTGTGTGTGTGTGTGTGTAGGAAGAGAGGGAGGGGAATACGTTGATTTTATATCATAAGAAAGGATGTGAAAATATGAGCAGGTGAAGGGAATGGGGGAAGGCAGCGTGTGTGCAGCAAAGGGCGGATTTTACAATTGGGTGGTGCAGAGAGAGCCCCGGAGTCGCCTCATGTTTGAAAGCAGTGTGTGAAGAGGCTTGATGGCCATGGGGAAAACTTGGAATGTGCTGAGATAAATGCAGTGTCCAGCAGATCCAACCATACCACCAAGGGGCACCAAGACCCAGTTTTGCCTGCAGGGGTTCGTGGATCCATCCAAGCTTTCTGCAGTCTGTGCTTTAGAGAGTAAGAACCTACCCCCAAGACAGAAATTACCAGAGACAACGCTGACAATGCCCCCGATTGTCTTGAATGAGCTCCACAATTGGAGTCTTCTCTTTCAAACTTTAAGGGAAAAACACTCACAGAAAACAAAGAATATGCATTCTCTATATGTGTGGGTATGTCTGCCAGTTCTTCACGGCTGGTAACTTCCAGGTGTGAGTCACAGACACCTTTCAAGCTTCAGGTCTCAGAGAAGACCACATGGAGGTGATTTGTGAGCCAGACCAACTTCTTAACATACTGAAGTTTCTAGCAAACTATTTGTAAAATTAATGGCCTCTGATGACCCCCATTACCATCTCCTGAAAGAAGGCATCTCATTGCTTTATGAAGCTGTTCACAGAAGAGTAATTAAGTAACAATTCAGGCCAATGGCCTCTCCCAGGAATTGATGGTAGGGAGAGTTCATTAACCCCACCTGGCTACAGCTTCACCAGGAAATGCCCTGGACCAAGGTTATTGCAGCTGTTAATGGATTGGATAGGGACTTTAACTGGGTAAAAATAAAGCCGTCTCTCCTGCCCGGGGAGCCTTTCTCCTTGAGGGGCTACCCCTGCAAACTGGAAGAGCAGCAGGACCTATGCTTTGGGCCCTGCGCTGACGAGGACAGCAGATTGCTACCAAGGAGAATCCTTAAATCAAGGTGGAAACAGGGCCTTGGGGGGAAGTTAAGGTTTTTTTGATCCAAGCCTCTTCCTGCAGACCACAGATGGCTTGATTAACACCCAGTACAGCTTTTGGAGCAGCTGTTCTCTGTGGTAAAGTTTCTATGCCCTCCTCTCCAGCGGGAAAAATGGCTGAGGTTCATTTCTTGGCTCACTCCCTGCTGTCAGAAATGCTTCTGCCCTTGTGAGTTCCTCTGTTGGGAAACTCTTGCCCTGATTGCAGGCTGGGAGTCCCTGCTGGGTTTGCTGGGCCTGTGCCCATGTGCTGTGGAAACCAGGCAGGTAGGTGCACCTGAGCTCTCGGTGGAAGCTGCCTGCTTGGTAAGGCCTACGGGAAGTGGAAAGCTATCTTGTCTGTTCACCTTGTATGTCCTTTCTTTGCAGGTTGCTAAATGTTTACTGGATGCTTTTATGATTAAGTCTGGTTTTGAGGTTCATTCTTGGGGGAGAGTCAAGGGCATCATTTTAGAAAATTGTTCCTCAAATACGCTGTAACCCCTGTGTATTTTTGTATTGTAGTTACTGTTATCATATACACTTTAGGTTCGTTTATAAAATCTCTTTGAATTTCTCTTCAGAATACATTTCTTGTATTCACAAAAGCATATATTTGAACTACTGAAAAGAGACAGCGATACATATAGAATATAAATGTGGGGAGGATATCACTCTCATTGGATCCAAGTTGGCTTTTTCCTTTGCAAGTCAAAATTCAGATGTAATACAGTTTAATATTCAATAAATTGAATTTCAACTGACAAAAGATATATGTATTTCTTTTAAAATGAAATTTACCAAATCATTGCTATTATAACAACAGTAAATAACTAAAAAAGTTTATCATGGATTTTTACCTCATAGCAATAACTCTGTTTTTCAAAATGTGTTATTAATTATTCAATAATTCCATACAACTTAGTTTTAAATTATTATTATTTTTAGAATTATTCATGTGTATGGGTGTTTTGCCTGCATGTATGTCTGTGTATGGGCACATGTATGTGCATGTGTGTCCCTGGTGACTGTGATGGTCAGAAGAGGGAGTCAGATCCCCTGAAACTGGAGTTACAGATGGTTGTGAGTTTCTCTGTGGGTTCTAGGAATCAAACCCAGGTCTTATGCAAGAGCAGCTGGTGCTATTGATCCCTGAAATATCTATCCAGTCTCTCATATAATTTATTTTGATCAAGTCTTTTGCTTAATCCCTTCCAGATCTGCCCTCATTCCTCACTCCCCAACTCTGTGTCTTAAAAAAAAAAAAACAGCTCCCCAACTCCATTTTTGCTGCTTATATACTCCTAGATGTAGGGCCATCAACTGAGCTGTGCTCAACATACCAGGAGGCATATCCCTAAAGAAAACTGACTCTACCTTCCTAGGAAGCCATCCATTGTCCATAGCTCCTCAGTTAGGGGTGGGGTCTCCTTCTCACTCTGTGCTAGAATGCTGACTGTCTTAATCTCGTACAACTCTTGGTACAGGCAACTGTTGGAGAATATTATTTTAATATGTGTTACATTTGTTTATGCTGTGGAACATCCGTTTCATGATGCAAAGGTGTGTTGTATTCTTTTATGTTGCATTTGTTTAACTCTGCGAAGCTGTGTTACTCTGCCTGTCTAAAAACACCTGATGGTCTAATAAAGAGCTGAATGGCCAACAGTGAGGCAGGAGAAATGATAGGTGGGGCTGGCAGGTAGAGAGAATTAATAGAAGGAGAAATCTGGGAGGAAAAGAAGAGCAAGAGAATAAGGAGAGAAGACGCCAGGGGCCAGTCACAGAGTAGGAGTGCAAGTAAGATATATAGAAGTAAGAAAAGGAAACAGCCTAGAAGCAAAAGATAGATGGGATAATTTAAAGTTAAGAAAAGCTGGCAAAAAAAGCCAAGCTAAGGCTGGGCATTTATAATTAAAAATAAACCTTCGTGTGTGACTTATTTGGGAGTTGGGTGGTGGGCCCCCCAAAGAGCCAACAGAGTAAAGAGTAAAAAACAACGGGCAACCACAGATGTTATGAATTCATGAGTTCAACAGTTCTGTCATGTGCAGAAGACAGTTTTGATCCTGTCAATCCTTGACCTTTGGCTTTTATCATCTTTCAGCTCCCCCCCCCCCCCGCCGCCCGCCCCCACCTATCCGTGATGATCTCTGAGCACTCCAATGACACTTATTTTCTGTACTTTGACTATGGCTCTGTTACTAAACACAGTCCTGTTCTGAAGTACTGAAGTTAGAATTTCAACAGATACATTTGGGAGGATATAACTCCTCCCATAATAGTGCCTAAACATCACTTTTCTGCTCTCCATGACTGGTCCACCCAGGCACTCAAGGGATGCTTATTTGTAGTAGAACTTGTGAGCATTCTCCTCTCCTCTCCTCTCTCATAAATCACACCAAAGGGGGCAATGGCGATAGCTGAATAGGAAAGTACACGCTGAGCTTATGTGAGGCTCCCGGGTTCAGTCCTGACACATGCACCCTTCCCTCAAGGAACACATTTATATAATCGTTGGGTTGCCTCCAGTGTAACCAAATGACAACAATAGAATTATTTTTAACTGCTTTCAATATGTATAATTAAATTATGAAGAAAATGAAAACAAGAAAGATTGTCTCATTGGGACTAGAGAAGCTTTCAAAGTCTCCAACATGTATGACATGCTCAATATTTTCTAGTTGATT